ATATTACACAGAATTTTGTTTGTATGGAATGAATAAAGTTTGAAAATCAAATCAAAAACAGTCAACTTGTGATCCGTGAGGTTGAGAAAAACATTTTTCACACAACTGTGTGTGACTTCATTCCTGAAAAATAATCTATAATGAACATTTTTTTATTTACCTTAATATTTTTAGCATAAATGATGATCCTGCATAGCACAGCAGGTAAGATATTAACTGTTCATAACCTATCTTCACTTGCTGTGATAAATGGTTGTTTATGGTGCATATTTACTGATGACCTGGTTCCTGACCTGTAATAAGTCGGTGAAAGTTCAAACTAATCCAACACAATCTTTTTTAGAAGTAAACAACTGGATTCAGTTCAACGGATTTAAAATTTTTTAGAATAAGTCATTGCTCTTTGTGTCGATGACCGTGTTAGAACAGCCAGGCAGGCATGAGCCGTGTTGGCGGCACGACTAAAGTCTGGAGTCATGCTCTACATACGATGGTCATCACGCACACACAGCTGGCAACCGTGTTGAGTTCACTGACCCAGTGGGAAAACAGTAATAAGAGGAAGGAAAGTCAACAGGAGTTAGTTCTCAGGACAGCAAACTGAGATTTTAAGGGGAAGGTGTGTGAGATTTTGTGGATAACTCTACTTAAAATGATGCAATTCTATAAAAAGTCACACTGAGTGTACTGGACATCAGAGGAAAAATATGGATGTTGTTTGCGTCGGCCATTATGTCATGTGTAATCTGACTTTTTGGCTCGCTTCATCTTCAAATCAATGGAAGTTGTTCCACTAATAGAATGAAGGACGTTTTATTTTTACTGTCCTGGCAGAGATAAGTGTCTGTCCTCCGTGCCCGTCTCTGCCTGCTCCTTACCTCTATAAACGCGGGCCTTATCTCAGCCGTTTACAACTGTCACCATGCTTCATGAAGCCTGAGGGCTGCTCAGTGTATTGTTCTACCAAAGCACCTCATTTTCTTTCATAAAACCTTTTATCATGTTTCAATTCTGGGGGGGATTTATCCTCTTTGGGTAAAAATAATGTGCATAAATATTAATTAATATGTATTCCTTGAAAAAATGCACATCGCCCACCACCTTTCATGCCAGAGTTTTAAAATATCCTTTTTTCTTATCGGTCAAATCTTTCAATTCACTTCAGTTTATTTATAGAGCGCCAAATCACAACAATTGTCTCAGGGCACTGTACACACACACACACACACACAAAAAATAAATCTAAAGAAGCCAGCAGACTGCTCTGAATCTTCGCTTCATCAAAGTCTCCCATCCTGAGCAGCACATTGGCAACAGTGGAGAGGAAAAACTCCCCCTTGACAGGAAGAAACCTCCAGCAGAACCAGGCTCAGGACAGGCGGCCATCTTGAAACGTTCAGTGAAAATAGGAGAGCTGTTAGCTCTCTGAGTGTGTGTTGAGATGACTCAGCCACTATCACACCGAATTTCAGGTTATTATCTATAAAACTGACTGAGTTATTGTTGTGTTTGCTAAGCAGGGGCGCCACCAAAGAGGAGCAAGGGGGGGCAATGGTCACCCATAAAAACATGGTGGTCCCTCCTTGGACAGTTTTTTGTTCGTCACAAGCTTTGGCTTGTTGTGTATTTTTGAGCTCCCCTATCTAGAATGACTAGAACCATATAAACATGAAAACAAACATTTCTGAGCAATTAGGAGCTGAAAAACAACAAAAAATTTGGATTATGTATCGGGGGGCTGAGACAGAGTGGTTTGGGGAGTCTTCCTGTAACCGGTGGGTTGCTGGTTCAAGTCGTTGTTTCCTTTGGCAAGCATTTCACCTGCRTTACCTGCTGGTGGTCAGAAGGCCGGGCGGTGCTGGTGTATGGCAGCCTCGCTGTCAGTCTGCCCTGGGGAAGCTGAATGCGTATGAACGGGTGGAGGACTGTAGCACTTTGGAGTCTTTGAACGGTTTACCAGTTTAGGGCCGTTTACCATTTAGGCCTACCAAAATTACCAGTGGAGGGGAATGGATCAGCTAACAGCAGAACTACAGTAATGTTTCATTTAGTGGATTAGCTTCTCTTTTGTCTGACTTTAATAACCATTAGCAGWCCAATTATTTTCTGCTAAATAAGGTTTTACCGACGTTAAGTCTGCTAACAGCTAACAAACTAACTTCAACAGGTTTGWGTCAGTCTCACCAATTTTCAGCTCAAAAGACATGAAGACATGTTTCCTAGTAAGTAATAGGAACAGTTTAAAAAAAGCAGACCTACTACTTAATGTATGTTTATCAGAAGGTGATTTTATTAACCGGTGTTGCTTTATTTGTTAAATAACTACATGGTAACAACAAAACAAATCTCTGAAAATTATTTTCTGGTTTTAGTTTTTGGTGCCTCTAGGATATTCAGTGCACCCGCCACACGACTCCCCCATAAAATGTCTACTGTTGCTAAGACTGATTGGATGTAGCAGCTGAAAAATCTGGTCCAGTGGTTGATGGGAAATTTTGCGTTTGTGTCAGCCATTTGGAAATAAAAAGAAACGACGTGATGTTTTCCAGGTGATTCTTTCAAGGAGTGACTAAAGAGCGTGATGAAGCAGAACAAACAGTCGGTGACTGGTGCTGCCAGTCCTGTCTGCCGTTTATAATCTCTTTATTGCAGTTTTACACTCTGTGACTGACCTTGACTCCGCTGCTCAACGGCTGACATCGCCTCCTGAAACTTCCCCAGTGACACTTTAAAGCCTCTTGGCCAGCGTCCTGTCGAATCACAGCAGCGTCCGGTGCTCTGCGCGGGGAATGTGGTAAAACCCTCTTTTACTGTCTGGAATTCATGGCGCTAAATGTCTGAGCCAAAGCTGCTCAAATATTTTATTGTTTTGTTTATTTGTGACGGTAATAAAGTCATTTGCTTATCTGTCTCAAACGTCGGTGCCAGGCACGGGGGAGATAAAGGAGGATGATGGTGGACAACACAGGACAGTCTGTTACTGACACAGTGACTTGGATGTTTCTTGACTTTGTTGGTCAAAATAAATCAATAAACCGTACAAAGTCTGTTTGGGCAGAGATTGTTTTTTGTTCAGAATTATATCTGATTTTAACCTATTGTCTTATGATGAAGAGCAAGTTAAAACCGTTTTGCTCAACCTTGACAATGAAGTATGGCACAATCTAGTTTAGTAAATTTATGCATTTTCATTTAAAAACAAAAATACGTACAACAAATAATACAAATCACAAATAAAATCAAAGGTAGCAGAAAAAATAAAAAATTCTCATTAACATCTGTCCCTTTTTTCCCCAAAAATAAAACAAATTCAAACAATTATAATCTTCAAATAACAAAACATAAAAAACTTCAACTCCTCCTCGAACAACAGTTCTTATAAATGCATATTATACAAATCCACATTCAAACTTTTATCACTGTCTTAAATTTATTGAGCCAGCTGTTTTATAATCACTTTCCAGATTAATCCACAGTTTAATTCCTTGTACTGAAGTACATCTGTCCATCAAATTAGTTCAAATGTTAGGCTTTACAAACATCTCTAGTCCCTTTAGATTGTAATTATTTTCTCTCTTAACAAAATTTAATTGGATATTTAAAGGTAATACATTTTTCTGAGCCTTACACATAATGTGCAAAATATTATAATCAACCAATTCATAAAATTTCAATAATTTCAACTGATAAAATAATACTTTTGATGAGTGATAGTAATGTTTTCTGGTGATAATTCTGACGGCTCTTTTCTGTAAAATAAAGATGGGATTTGTAATTGTTTTACACGTTTTACCACAGACTTCAATACAGTAAATCAAGCGTGGAACAATTATTGCATTATATAACACAAACAGTGCTTTATTATTAAGTCCTTTACGTTGTAAAACACCGCAATGGATTTGGTTATTTTTGTTTTTAAATGATTTATGTGGGATTTCCATGTWAGCTTTTCATCAATACTGACACCCAAAAACTTCACCTCACTGACTCTATAAATCTCAAAACCATCAACTCTGAAAGGAACATCAACAGTTCTCTTTATCATGTAATATAATTAGTTTTATCCAAGTTTAATGACAATCTATTAAGTTTAAACCAGGTTTGTATCAAAACACATTTCAGCAACCCTGACAAATTAACCAAATAACTTACATACAAAATAAATAACTTTGGTCCAAGTACAGAACCCAGTGGAACTCCACATGTGATATTATTGAGTTCAGATCTTACATCATTTAGCTGTACAAACTGTTTCCTATTTTTCAAATAGCTAGATACCCACTGTAGTGCTGGACCATTTGTTCAAACTAAACTAAACATTTTCAAATCTATGTTTTGATACTGAAATCATCCTGATAAGAGTGGGAAAACACCAAGTGCAGAACAATTGTTGCATCATAAACAAAGCTTTGTCATTAAATAAGTCCCTTACTTTGAACAGTACTGCAATTGATTTGGATGTTTTTGTTCTTAGTCTCACACAGTGTTGTGAGATCTGCCATGTGGAGCCAGTTGATTTGACTTTGAGTAAATTCAACACTTGATGAGTTCAAACTTTGTAACTAGGTGTTGTTTTTTTGAGTAAAGAAGTAAAACTATAATTTTTAGCTTTAAAATGTAACAAAATAAAATGAAAAGTAGCTGTTTAAAAAAATAATTGGTAAAATCACAAATCCTCAAACAAAAAACTGCTAAGTAAATGAACTTAGTTACTATAAACCTCTCGACCTACAAAAAAAAAAGTCCTCCAATGCTGTCAAATCAAGCCCCAAACAGTTTTGTGATGATGGAAGTCAACATTAGACAGGATCTGATAAATGTGACGTAACTAATCCTGTTTTGTGGKTCTGTGATGTGATCGTTGGGTGAAACTCTCAGAAACAGCAGCTGATGATGTCATTCTGTTTCCTCCTGGATTTTGGTTTCCAGCTGTGACCAAATGCTCCATGATACAAAAAACAAAAAACAAAACAAAAAAAAAACAAAAACACATTTGTCAGATGAACAAAGCTTTGTATCCAAACAGTTGTGTCAAAGATGTTAACAGAAATCACTCGTTACCGCCAATCAGACAGATTGTGATATTTGAAAGTGTCGTTTTGTGGGTGAAGGCTCAGACAATGAAACAATGATAACATGAAGAGTYTAACAGTTTTACAGTAAACTTATCATTTTTAATCATGACACAATTTTTAATTTGAGCACATCTACCATGTTTTCAAAAATTTAARGTGTAAGTTTGGAAATTCAGTTTTCATTCATGAATGAAACATTTTAAAACATTAAAAAAGAAAGCATAAAACAAACTGTGCTACAAACAGAACGTTAAATTGCATTTTATTGTATTTCCATTGAAGAGAAATACTTGCACTCAAATAGTCTTGTCAGTCAAGTGTCTAAATGTATTTATTCGTTTTGATTTTTCCTTATAGTTGAACTTGAAAAAAAAAACATTTTATACCTTGTATTATGATTTTGTGAGAAAGTCGTATTTTTATTATTTCAAAATCCCACCAATAAAATCAAAAATATGTCATCAACAGAGGGTGCTGCTTGTCTTTTTTCAGCTTGATTTTGCCCACTTTTTTTCATCAACATCCAGCTGAGAACTAAAAAAAAAAAACCTCACAAATATAAAACAATAAATAAATTGTGCTTATGAGGCTTTCCGAAAATTATATTCTTCTGATCTGAGGCTGAAGTTAATTTCTAAAAGCAATTTATTTCTTTGTATTTGTTTGTGCAAATGTGTATTCATCTGTTCACAAAAGTGTTGGTGACTCGGTTGAAAAACATTTGAGCTCTGATCATTACATACAACCAAACTAAATTAAAGCTTATTTTGTGTTTAAATTGAATTTTTAACTCAATTTTCTGTCAATAATCCCCACAAATTTCTTATTTCTGGTTCATAAATAAAAATCTCAACTAATAATAAAGGAATCCCCATTACATTTCAGCACCTGTCAGAAATAATTCACATCATCTGAGTCTTTTTTTTCCCTTGATGCTGACTAGCTGTGACCATTATCTTCTGGCTTGAATTCACGTTAACGTTATCACTACACAAAAGCATCCAAGTGAAATCCAGGAATTTAAAGTGCCCGTGACATCAAATTTTTGTAATAAACATGAATGCATTTTTGGAAAGATAACATCGATAAAATATTATTAAAAAAAAGATTTCACGCCGTTGAAATGAACAGTTGTTGAGATATTTGCATTTGAAGAAACAGGAAGTGATGTCAAAGAGGAATGTCTGCATGTGANACACAAAAGCATCCAAGTGAAATCCAGGAATTTAAAGTGCCCGTGACATCAAATTTTTGCAATAAACATGAATGTATTTTTGGAAAGATAACATTGATAAAATATTGTAAAAAAAGATTTCACGCCGTTGAAATGAACAGTTGTTGAGATATTTGCATTTGAAGAAACAGGAAGTGATGTCAAAGAGGAATGTCTGCATGTGAACAGAGCAGTGCCACCATGGCTAACAACAGACTGTAGAGAATAATCTGAGGTTTCATTAAATTAGTTTAATCACTATAATAGAGAGATGAGGAAAAGGTCATAGTTTAATAAAACAGTTTTTTTCAAAGAGTTCCCCTTTGATGTCACTTCCTATTTCATTTAGCCAAGGCAAGTTCAAAAGAAAATATGGCGATTATGTGCCATAATGGGTAAAATCTTGTGTATTATGCCAAGTATAAATATATTTTCTTTGACTTTTTGTATTTCATGGATATGCATGTCACAGGCACTTTAAAGTTGTTTTCAGCAATTTACTGACATTTATGTTTTTGATCTGTGGGAGGAAAACCGGAGTGCCCAGAGAAAACCCATGCATGCATGGAGAGAATATGCAAACTCAAACCAGAAAGGTCCCTGGTTGGGATTCCATTTGTACTCAAATATTAAATTTTCAACCGTAAAGTCACAATTATAGGGTTGAGTAATATTGGCATAAACATTTATCATGAATAATTGTGGTATTTAGTCAATAACGATTAATATGAGCATTAATAGATGACGATTGTACTTGTACGTGCCCAACATTGTGGCCTTAGTCCACATTTTCTGTCTTTCTTCYTACTTTGGTTTTTTCCGGTGTTTCAGGTGTTTCACCACCTTTCACCATTGGGCTCACATGCACGCCTGTGTGTCACACATAGAAATGTGTGAATCACATAGAAAAATTGTAGTAATTGTAAAATGGCAAATAAGAGTTGTTGACTGTTTGACGACTGTTTGAACACAACATGATTTTGCCCAAGCCTACTGACCAGTCCTCACCTCAAAACCCAATATGTCTGCCTCATGCATGAAAAGTCACGTTAGCTAAATTTATTTTCACTTAGGTCAGTTTAAATCTCAGTGATTCAGTCATACACCGTATTGTTCCACGGTTGTTGGTGAACTTATTGCTACAGTGTTTGGAATCAGAGAAATCCTTTATCAGCTTGTGCTGCTTTTGGTTATTAACTTGGCCACTGAACACAACTGTTAACAAGTCCTTCTAGTTAATGACGCAACTAGAYCAAAAAATGATGTCATTCCCAGATTCAACTTCGTTTTCGAGGRAGATGGACAGCAGAAAACCCCAAACTGAGCTCATTGAAATGTGCTTCGTGTTTGTAAAAATTCAAACAAAGCTCTAATATCCCTTGAATCCAACAGATTGGAAGGATTTATTTGAATGAATTTGACGTGAGGGTCAATGGCCTCCTTTGCGCTCTAGCCTATTTCCAGCTCTACAGGTGTGAGCTGGCGGGTGCACTGACACAGTGAGGGGCTGATTACCTCTGCAGTCCTTGGTAGCTTGGTACCGCCTGGGTTAATGACACCGGCTCCGAGATAAAAAAGCCGATCCCTCTTGATAGTCGTGCGTTACTCCAGCAGCTACTCCTCATTGAGAAAAGCTTATCTGCTTCCCAGGGTTATTCCAGCAGTCACCTGGCAGAGCACATGGTTGTTTTTCACATAGGGTGTATTGACATTTCAAGGTCCACGAAGAAGGGAGGGTTGGCCTTATAAATACGAGAGGGCGACTAAGAGCGAGCAGCGGCGCTCACGAGAACACACCTGAAGAGCATCGACTTTAAAGATGGACCATGGATGTCAGTGRACGACCTACAGCGACAGGCTTCTGAACCCTATCCTCTACAACATCCTGAGTCACATGGACAACAGCAGACCAAGTCCGGACACCTTCAGCCACAGCTCGCTTCCWCACAGGTGCAACTGCGAGATGAGACGGAGAGTGTGCTTGAAAAAGCCAACTGTGGTGGGCAAAGACGCCACGGCAGTTCTGGTGAAAACCGTCCACTTCATGAAGAACCTTCCGGCTTTTAACCAGCTGCCGCCGAGCGACCAGTTGGCGCTTCTCGAGAGCTGCTGGGCGCCTCTTTTCATCCTGGGTTTGGCCCAGGAGCACGTGGACTTCGAGGTGACGGACGTCCCCACCGACAGCATGCTGAAGAAGATCCTCCTGAACCACCAGGAGAGCCGCGAGCTGGAGACGGAGCAGCCCACCATGGCCGGGGTCAGCAAGCTCAAGTCCTGTCTCAAAAAGTTCTGGAGTCTGGATCTGAGTCCAAAGGAGTACGCGTACCTGAAAGGGACCACGATTTTCAACCCGGGTAAATATCAGTTGGATTGATGTTGAAAGACACCTCGATGTTTGAAATGCAACAAACTAAATCTTTTTTTTGTTGTCATCAACAGATGTACAGTCTTTAAAGGTGGGCCCGTTTGTGGAAGGCCTGCAGCAGGAAGCTCAGCACGCCCTGAGCGAGGTGGTCCAGCTGCTTCACCCCGGACACCAGGAGCGCTTTGCTCGAATCCTCCTCACAGCCTCCATGCTTCAGGGCATCACGCCCAGCCTCATCACCGAATTGTTCTTCCGGCCCGTGATAGGCCAGGCTAACCTGCTGGAGCTGCTGGTCGACATGCTCTTCCACAGATAGGAGGGACGGTCCTCACGGTGAACTGATGACCCCACCAATAACGGGGTGTGGGTTTGCTTACATTTCCATTGAATTCCTCCGCTGAAAAAGATTTGGCAGATTGTGCTTCTCTGTTGATATACTTGATCCAGGGTCGAAAGTGTCCTCTCTCTCTCTCTCTCTCTCTCACATTGTTGTTGTAAATAAGTGTTCTTTGCATTTGCAGAAATTTTCAATAAAATATATTTTTGTACACAAATGTAATAAAGTTCAGCTGGAGTCTGTTCAACCATTCCGGTGACCAAATCCAAGTAATAATCCATCATAATGTTGTGCTCAGTTGATTCTTTTCGACACAACTCTGAAGGGTTAAATGTTTTATTGTTTTCTCTGGTGCTACGTCGCCCTCTAAAGGCAACTAGGGCAAAGTCTTAAACCACGTTTTTTCCTTCACAAAATCACATTTTCTAACCCATAAAGTAAAAAAATAAAAAAAATAAAGTATGGCATAATAATCAAAGCAATCTACATTTTTATTTTTGAACTAGACTTCGGGGTCATCCTGCCATGTGGTATGTTAGTTGTGAAACTCTGTCTTTACATGACGACTCGTACAGGTAAAACAGGAATGTGCTGGTGGGGGCAGTGAGCCAGAGGAAACGGGGTTACGTACAGAAACAGACACAAAGAAAGTCAAAAAAAGCAGCCGACATCGGGCTCAGAAGGCCTTAAAAATATAACCTGCTGATTGTTGTGTGGCTTTAAGTAGGCATCCACCTTCAATCGAAACCAAAACGGCTAAAAGTTTAGTATTTTTAAGAAGTTGTGCTGGATTTCACAACACTGACACTTAAAATAAGATCGCAGCCAAAAATGACCAAGTTTACGATCCTCACGTTATTTCAGGAAACAGCTGAAGCAACAGGTTTTATCTCAGAAAAGAAGAAAAACTCAGAAACCGAGGAGTAAAGTTTATATAAATACACAATAAATAGATTCATTCTTCTTGTTTGAATGACTGTAATCAGGACGAACTCCTGAAATCAGCCTGGTTATCTGCGCRGCGTCTTCCTTTAGCAATAAATGACAAAGACAAACCCTGGGATTTTATTTCCTTTCTGTCAGAACCAGCCAAACAAGTTCCTCCTTTTGCTGAGGGCGGAAAATGCTTGCCTGCTACAACGCTGACCTGAGGGAGATGAGCCTGACAACAATCCCAGATTAAAAAAAAGTAAGCTAAGGAGAGAAAACTTTGACAATGACTTGTTGATGTAGAGGTGGAAAAGTTTAACAAAAAAAAAATCGGCTTCTTTTGGGAGTGATCTCTACAAGAGGAAACAGAAAAATCTAGTTTTTGTTGTTGTCTCTTTATTAAAACCATATGAAAAGCTTAAACAAGCAATGATATTTTTATTTTAAAATAAGACTTAATGCACYTTATAAAAACAAAAAATTTAACCAAATGGCACAAAGTAACAATGACTTGGGAGTATTTACATTAAAAATATGGCTTATACATGTAACAATACCATTTTCAGTTGAGTAATTAAAAAAAATACATGTCAGCAGACTAAAGAAATGGTAGAAGACAATAGGCTCTCACATAAAGAACACAACTTGTAAAAACAGAAACAAAGACAAGAATGAGGACGGTTATGTCCTGCCATCAGCCTTGATCCTTTCTGACTGCTCAGTTTGCTTTCAGAGAAGTCATCCCTCTCTCTAAAACTTAAACACTGTATACAAGTTTATAAAAACTTATAACCCCGCCGTAGGGTTAAAAAAAAAAGTTTCCTCTGTTGGTCATAAAACAAACAAAAAAACAAAACAAAAAAAGAACAAAGTGACCATTAAAAGGAGAACTGTAACCATCCAAGGAAAGGTGCTCCGCTCAGTAACAGCATAAAAGACAACAGAGGAGTAACATCGTCTGTTTGGCTACATGATTTATCTTTTTCTAATCTCCCCCTTTAAATAAGCAGAGGAGCACCTGAGGAGTGCGTTCCGGTGTCGTGAAGGTAGGGCGAGTAGGCTGTGGAGGAATACGCTGATAAAAAAAAAAAAAAGAAAAAGAAAGAAAAAAAATCAATTATTGAGATTTAATAACTAAATGAAAAAGAACAAAACATTTCAAGGTGAGACAAGTTGTTGCTGTGGAAATTCTGAATGGACTGAAGGGGCACGCAGGCCAGAAGTCGGCCCACCCCCCGTTAAGCCTTTGTGCTGACGAGGTGGGTGGTAACGGAGACTGAACGGTCGGGGTGTGAAAAGATTTAAAAACCTAAARCATAAACAGATTCATAATGGACGCACGTCAATTTCTCATCCAGTTACSAACATTTGGTTGAGGAGAGGAAGATTGACAGCACCGACGCCTCACAGCAAGAACATCCTGGGRTCTCCTCTTCTCACAGACAAAATAAAGCACATTAGGCTGCCTTCAAGCCCAGGCATCCCTGGCAAAACAGATCTGTGTTCTAAAGGGATTAGCCTGGTTAAATAAAGGTTAATAATAACTAAACTGGGATAATCCATGTTTTGAAAATGATATGAAGGGAAACATTCATCACACGGTGAATGCACAGATGAGTTCTGCTCCACACCTCTCTCGCTTCATTGACCTTTTCACAGTTACTAATGTGTGTGTAAAAATCAGCCACCACGCCCCACAATACATTCTAGTCTACTGACATTTATATGCAAAGGTAGTTATAAATTAGTTTTATTGGTGATTTATGTTATGATAGCTGAGTGTCCTCAATGTGCAATGTTTCCAGATGTCAGAATGACTGTAGCAGAAACATGGGCCGATATGAACTGTAACTCAACTAAGAAGGTGTGAATATACACAGTCTACAATGCATCTATGTGGGACACTGTTGGCTCGATTAGCGATTTATGAATGGCTAACCTTGTTTTCTGAAAGGGCCAAATGAAACYTGGCAGACAATGCTTCATTTCAATCGAGTTTGAACGTCACAATCATGGGACTCGATGTGAAAGTTGTAGAAACACAATGTGCTGTACCTTCATTCAAAGACGCGTAACAGGACACTCTTCAGCAGCCTCTTTGCAAGAGAGCAAGTTAGGGGAGAAAAAGGGGCCCGTTCGCCTCGTGATCCGATCCTTCTGGAACTCAAGGCGTTTGCTAAAATTACATAATAATTCGGGAGACGGTACGAGGCTCGGATTTAACGGGACTCGATCTGCTGCTTTCGCAGGTGGTGTAGCGTGACGGCTGAGCCAGAGGGGGGACAAAGAACCAAAACAGGCATTAGGTGGCAAAGGAGGGGACTGGAACAAGTGACGAGACGGAGCGGAAACACAGAGCTATCTTACGGTTTATAAAGAGAGGCATGTTACTGGAAAGTAAAGAGAAGGTGAGAAGAAGCCTGCAGCTGCAGTGGGCACAATAGATGGCAGAGTCGAAGCCCCCGCACTGACTCACACACCAGGGTGGTAATTATACCTCAGTGACTACGACAGTTAAAGACTGTGGTATCTAACGAACAATTTCATATCATGATATCCTAACCTTCCTCACCAGTAAGGGAAAAAAAGAGACACACAAAAGGGTCTTTTACACCTGTCATGGAAAATCCCCCACATGTACTCACCTCTCCCGCTGTACTGCCGCATTTTTCGTGCCAGCTCATCTGATGGCGTCTGCTCGGATACTTTCACCTCTGGATCTGCAAGAGTTCAACGTGAAACTTAATGAGCTGAAGCAGACAGGGCGGCTGGCTGTTAAAGGGCTCCTACGTAAAGAATAACCRGGTCATCTGCTTTTGCAATGTTTTAGTCTGCGTGTACTTGTGTCAGCTTGCCTCAGATTAAGAGATTGTTAATAGGCCATTGCCTGGAAAAAGCTTGGTGCATTAGGGCTTACAGCTCGGAGCCTAACAATAGGAGCAACGTTCCTACAGACATGATGAGTCATCGTGGGGAAGACCGGTCCGATTTTTGTTATATTTAGCATTCTGCAGCCAGATGAAAGTAGAAATGTCGACCTAATTGCATCACAAATACCTCCACCTCACCACTCATCAACCAAAAACCAAGCGTCTTACATTCACTGCTGCAGGTCATGGTCTCGTTGCCGCTGTCGGGGAGCGTCCCGTCGCTCCTGCCGTTGGGACGGTGTCCCGTCGACTGGTGGCTGGCCTTCTTCTTGGCCTTCCGCGTGCTGATGCGGATGACCCCGTGCACCAGCTTGCACTCGGCCTCCTGCTCCTCCAGGTTGTAGTTCTGGGCGATGCTGTAGATGAGCTCGCTGATCTCGTTGGTCTTGCGGGAGAAGGACGAGTCGGACGTGCACTTGGCCAGCTCCTCGATCTGGTGAAGGGCGTAGAGCTCCAGCAGCTTCTTGGTTATCAGCGAGTCCACGTCTGTGCTGTCGCATGGGTCGTCCACGTCGTAGTAGTCGTTGGACAACAGGCTGGTGTTGCTGACCGGTCGCTGGCTTTCCCCCTTGACGGGCGCGCGGCTCCGTTTGGGGTCATTGACGGAGTATTTTACGATCTCCCCTCTGAAACGCACGTCCTGGTAACGGAAGCTTTCATTCGAGGGTAACTTGGGAGTCTTTGTGGGCTTGTTGGACTCCAGAGGGATGCCACAGGTTGGGTTGCTCATAGCCGTGCCATTAGGGGGGTCGCTGCCTGATTTGGGCGGGTGGTCCGTGGAGCTCTCGTTAACGGGGAGACAAGGTTCTCGGCTGCCATAAAACCCACAGGTCAGTAAACAGCAGAGAAGAGCCTTGCAGCTACTCCATCCCATCGAGGCACAGGAGCCACATGTGTCTCTGCTGGTCGGCGTGCTGTCTGCTGACCCTGGGATAAATCCTATAGTCTCTGAGCTCCTGGCCGTACCGTTGCGCGGGTGTCCTTTGCTGTGGCCATATTTGTTTTCTGCATACCTGGGATGTACATTGATATGCTCCACGTGATGATTCTTATACGAGTCTTGCTTGGCCGTGCTCTCCCGGTATATAGTTCGGTTTTGCCGGTACTTGTCCGTGTTGGAGCGGTAGGTGTGCGGTTTGTGGTGGTGGGACGTCTGGGGAGTCCCCGTGCTTTGGCCAGGCATGGCTCAAAATACCTGGAACCTGGGGTGGAAAAAGAAGTGTTTACAGGATGATAAAAAAGCTCTTGTTTCAGGGTTCCTACAAATATCATATTTTAAAATTTCACACTTTAAGACTCAAAAGATGGGAGAAAAAATGAAGTTTTTAAAGGAACATTTTTCTGCTGTGTTTGCACCTTTTTCTTTACTTGCAAACTGAGTTCTTGGTGAAAAACAAACACAGAAACAACCTTGTGGTTTGCAAAAAAGCTCTCCAAGGTGGAAAATTTTCAAAACTCAGATCTATGAAAACTGGAAATACAGAGCTMTTTTAGAAACCACGATGATCCTGTTCCCCACACGCCCACCATCACTTTGTGACCTAAAAACRAGAACAACACTGAACTTGTTTTTACTTTTTTCCCCCCACCATTTGTCTCACTTTAAACTGATCTGTTGCCAATAAAATTTAGCTTTACTGAAAGAAAACTGTAAACAMGACCAAAAACAAAAACTACTGTTTAACTGAAATATGTACTTTGGCTTGTTTTATTTTTTTATATTTGTGGACAGTCTCATGACCTAGCAACACGACAGGCATTTCTGCCAAAATAGAAAAGATAATTAATTAATAAATAAATAAATAAATAAATCAGGTCTAAGTACAAATATTTTCTAAAAATGTATATAACAGGGATATATTTTGACATTCACAGTCAACATTATTTTAATGAAATCTTTTCATATAAGTGCTAAATCGTTGCAACAAAAAGCCCCATCATTATATCAATAAATTAACTTAAAATTGAAAGTTTTTTATAGTGTTAATAATTATTTTTCTAACACTGCACTGTTTGTTTGTATTTGACCTGATTGTCCTTTATTTTTCCATTTTCTGCTCAGTTTATTGTGTTAAATTGTAATGGTTGTGTTGTGAAATCTGCCTTGCTATGCTTGTTTTTGAATCTTTAATGGTTTTTTTATTTGCATGCACACAATGAGACTTAAAAATAAGCAACTTTTTAACATTTTTCTAATAAATACATAGTCTGTGTCACAGGGTTCCAGTCTTTGTTAAAACTATAAATTTTACAAAAATATGTTTCTGTTTAAAGTAAAAAAAAATAAATCATTGTATACAATTGGGATGGGTTATCTTTAGACTGACAAGTTAACTACAATATATTCATTGATCAAGGATTTGTACAAATTATTTATTTAAGTTACTATAGTTTGTAAAGTGTTTCTCATAAGTTGGCACAGACTGAYGATGCACAACATGGGAGTTTCCATCTTTCAGTTTCACATAAAAACAAAGTGAAAAATACAAGTTTGAGAAGTTTCCATTCAACATAATCTGATTTTTACATTTTAGAAAAGTTTTTTAAGTGGGTAAACCTCTGTAAATACAAATGTTTTCCGCGTGTAAACACTTAAAACTGTGGTTTTGTCGAATCAACCTGCATTTAGAAACAGCCTCCAGTACCTGAGTGTAAAACCGACTGCACTGAGTCCTGCTTATTAGTTGTTTAACACTAATTTAATGAACAGGTGTGCAGTTAATCCCATTCATTGTGTAACTGCGCTTCTTCTTTTTTTTTTTTTTTTTTACTTGCAAATCGTCCACTTACCGCATAAGAAGAAACAGTCGTGGTTGTTTTGTGTCCTTGATAACTTCAAACCGCGGAAGTCTCACAGACAACAACTCCTCGCTGCTCCGCGCTTCAAACCGAAGAAGAAGAAAAAAAACCTGACGGATGTCGAAACCCCACACAAACTTCCAGGTGTGTTTCCCCCCCGCTTTTCTTTTTATCCACCGAACAAGAAACTCTGAAAACCTAAAGTCCGGAGCCGCGACCGAACGACCCAACCCCTCATTCGTGTCTTATTTAGTTAGAAAACCTAAACAAAACAGKCTCTCTCTCTCTTCCCCCAATGTTTGGCTATTACCTGCGGCTACAGCTAATCCCAGATCCCACCCACAGGTGAGCTATGACGTCACTCAGCCGAGCATGAACTCAAGAGAAACTGTAACAATTTAATTTATATTCGTCTTTAGCCTTGTTGCTTGTTAGTTTCTGATGAAACATTGCCGACTCGGTCCATATTAACGAATGCGCTTTAGCTAATTAGCTGAAAGCACGAGCTGTGAGCAGTCCACGCATGCGCAGTGCGGGGCGCAGCTGCACAACCAGCAGGTGTGTTTTTCCAAAAAAGGATTTTTCATTTTGCCCCTTTTTCCTGGCAGCCCCACACTTAATCAGACCCTGAACAGAAACATCAGGAGCACCTCACTTAAAAAAAACAACATCAGTAGCCACAATAAGAGAGCACAGAACCAGACTATTAAATAAATAGACAAATGATTTATTTAGTATGACTTTAAATTTATATATTTAAAAAAACTGACATTATGAACACTTTAAAATACAATAAAGACAATTTCAATGTGATGTTTTAAATATTGCACACTAAAAACCAAACAAAGTCATGTAAAATCAAATAGGAAACACAATAAATTAGAACGGCCCAATATAATTGTAAAAAACATACTCTGCATGAATCAAACTATATAAAAAAACAATTTTAGATAATGTGTTTATAGCGATCCCTTAAAGTTTTGTTGGTTCTAGATCTAATATAAGCGTATTTAATATTTATAAAGAGCTTTTCTAAAACTGAGTAAGTATTTAACTTTATAATCTCTAAGCATCTACATTGTAGTTAATATTTCTAGCAGCATCTCTTGATATTTACTGTCATGGGCTACAGCTAAATCTAAGACGGGCTCTCTAAACCATTTTAATAAAAATTACTGCAAGTAGTTTTATAAACGAATAATAGTTTTACATTGTTTCAATGTAAGATAATAAAAAAAACTGCCTTAAAATTCAGAGTTGAAAATCTAATTCATATCTTTGGGAGTGGGGTTCTATGGAGGAGTTGTAAATATCTTACCTGTTGTAGATGGGTGTTTGAGTGGCCTCAGTCTGGAGGACCGAAGTTAAAATCGGAGCCGATTGTTTAGCTAATATTCAAAGCCAATACAAAGTTAACTGCTGCCATCTTAAAACAACTCAGCAAGTTTTAAAGCTGAACGTGCAACAAACTCCTATTTTAAACCTTTACGTTTGTAGTATATTTGCATGAAATTGTTATTTACAAAAGAGTTTTGTGGTTTTAAAATTATCAGCTGTAGCTCTTCCTGTGCAGCCTCGGGTCTCATCAGAAAAAATCATACTTTTTTTTCAGGATTAACCATGCAATGCATAACTGAAAACATCATAAGTGTCTATAYATTGATGTTCACATAAATCACTATGAATGTTTTTAAACTAGAGTTATAAGACAACAGCAGTCCACTTTGGTCTTGCTTGGACTTGGGTTTTAGCTCGTCAATATTGTAAGAAATTAAACACTAATTTCTCTAAAGTGAGGTAAATCAAAGAGCCATCTACAGCAGTGAATATTTGAATTGTTTATAACCTTTCCCTGAAAACACTTGATATTATCTTGATCTTTTTAAGGCTGTAATGTATAAACCTCTGTGTTAATTTGATTAGATCGGTTGTGATGACTGATTGATCTACTCTGATTGTTTGAACTCAATTTAATCTTCATTAAAACGTTAAGCTGTGTTAAGTTGATTTAGATTAGTTGACTGATTGAACTGTTTAGGGTAAATGATTGAATCTGCACGTGCTTTTACTTAATTAAAAACCTTTGAAAAATGGTCTCAAATCCAGTGAAAATGATGCGTTGGATAAACAGTATGGAGGAATGGAGAATTGGAGAATGAAAAATTGATGCAGACATTTAAACCTACCCACCAGCTTAACTCATTGCCAAAGTTAGGCTACTACTTCAGTAGGACATGACATTTTTTTAAGTTAAAAACATTTTAGTTAAGTATTTCCTTTCATCACAACTTTACAAAAAATCTTGTCAAACAGACAAACAATACCATGCTGATACCAAAAAAAAATCACACAAAAACAGTTCACAGATCATGTTCCAGTGCCTGAACAACAGAAAGGCACTTTTAAGGAGATATTTAAAGGTAACTGCATTATATTTATAGGAAAACACACTTACCTCATATTTTACACTCAATAACCAGGAGTTAACARGGGGGCGGGGAAGTCAGCACCTGTTTGGTTTGTGTTTCTGTGGGCTCTTGAACAATACAGGTGTCATTTGGCAACTGCTGTGACCGAGCCGGTCCTTTGTGCCTTTGCGGCCTGCCAGTCTCTGTTGTGATGCGCCCCAAGCGAGGGTCCGAGTCAATCTCATACCGGTAGTGGTACCCCTCCAGGACGTCCCGGCACGCGTCTCTTGTCTCTATGATCCATTTCTTCATGCCGTTGCGATTCAGGTAGAGCACAAACAGGAAAACCATGCCCACAAAGCCCAGCACCAACCCCAGGAAGACGTAGGACGTCTGCAGGGTGAGGTCAGCCACATCAGAGAMGACCGGAGCAACACAACCAATGGCCTGGACAGTGAGTCCTTGCAGAAGGATGTTGGTTAATCCTTCTGGCGACACACATCTGATGGCGTCCACGTCCACCCTGACTCTCGACTCGTTCAGCCAAGCCACAAAATCACGGCTCTCGCAAGAGCAGGTGTACGGGTTGTGACCCAGGAGGATCCTTACGTTCCCGAGCCTCTCCAGCTCCTGCAGCGCATCAGTCCCGAATGTCCCAAAGGCATTGCGCGTCAGGTCCAGCACCTCCAGGCGATCCATGCCCGAGAAGGTCCCGCTGTACACAGCCACCAGTGAGTTGTTAGAGAGGAAGAGCTGCTGCAGGTTGGGAACGTGGGAGAACATCCCAGGGGGCAGCAGGGCCAGATGGTTTCTTGAGAGGTCGAGTCGGAGGAGCCCCCAGAGGCCGCCCCATCGCAGGGCAGTGGCGAGGTCCGTCAGGGCGGTGAAGTTGTYCAGCGAGTGGCTCAGGTTGAGCTCTTGAAGAGGACTGCCAGGGATGCTGAGGGCCTCTGGATGGATGAGGGCCAGCTGGTTTCCACTGAGGTCCAGGAAGCGCAGGTTGGTGAGGGCCGAGAAGGCGTGGGCTGCCAACTCTGTGATCCTGAGGAGACAACGAACACTGTAACACCTGACCACTCTCACTGAGTGAAAATGCATRGGATGCACGACTGTACCATTTGTTTCATCACATTAGTGTGTGACATCACCAAGCACTACATTACATCATAGGCTACTGTATTCCAAGAGTTATACATTCATGTTCTGCGTCCCTAAAATGTGTTTTAAAGAAGTTGGATGGACTTTACAAATTGAATCAAACCAAAGTTAGCACAAAAAGTAATTTGTGTTTGGTAGATTATTTCTTTGTTGAAACTGGGCAACAAGTCTTCTGTTAGAAAGCTTGTTATTTCCCTTTTAAATGGTGCCACATATGTAAGGAATATCCTTTGTGGGATCAGCATTAGAGCTTTTCTGTCAAACAGCTTATTCTGCTGTTATTGACTCGTTGGGAGCTTCTGGTGCCCCCAGGTGCTCCTAATCAGGTGTCTGCTATAAGATTTATTGCAGAGAATCATTGATAAAACAAAGAAATAATCGACCCAATACAACTTTCCTTACCTCTTGTGCTAGGTATAGTATCTCACTGTGGTGGGACTTTTGGTAACACTGCTCATGGAATTTTCGAGGAAATCTCCAAAATGTTGGGGGGGATTCTCTAAGTCCTTACTGGGCCTCAGATGTTAGTGATAAAAGAAAACCGGACCAAAATTTTCCCAGTTACAAAATCTTCAACTGAAACTCATCTGAAACTTGTCTTAATTTAGTTTCAGGAATTCTTATCCTACAGGTTGATGGGGTCGGGACCCCATTGTGGTTTGAGAAATACCAGGTTTGGATCTTGTGATGATTGTCAGTAGTCAAATGAAATTAAAGTTGCAATCTTTTGCTGGAACAGACACTAATGTGGTAGTCATAAATYAACAACAACAAAAAAGTTATAATGGTCGTTAAGGCAGAACTATTGCCTCTTGTGCGAGAAGGTCGCCGGATCGAATCCTGACCAGGAACCTTTCTGGGTAGAGTTTGCATGTTTTCTCTGTGCATCAACGGGCTTCGTCACACAGACCAAAAACATGACTGTTAGGCTGATAACTTTGTCTCTCTGTGTCCCTGTGACGGACCTGCGACCTGCCCAGTGTGTACCCTTCCCTTTGCACACTGCTGGATATGGGCACCAGTGACCCTGAAAGGAATAAGCGTGTAAAAAGATGATGGATGGTTGTTAAGACTGTGGTTGTCTTTATGCTTTTGTTTCATAGGTGTACAGAAGTTTATTCTGTATGTTGTCACTGTTATTTTATYGGTCCATTGCTGAAAAGCTTGGTAATCTTTCATATGGAGTTCTACAGGTGCCAGTATGTGAGCTTCCAGTGATTTTTTTTTCTGTGGAAGTTCAGGACATGTAGCTTAGTGTAATACCAATGAAATACTTAGGCAATTTTCTTTCATTTTCTGTCTCCAACAGCTGCAGCCTGGTGAGAAGCCACCTTAATCTGCAACTGGGTGTGTGAAGCTTCTAGTATAAGAGCATGTCGATTAATAAGAGTGGAAAATGTTTATAAATGAAGTTAATTTACCATTTCTCTTGATGTTCACGAGTTGTATGATAAAACAGTGTTAGAGCATTTTTGATAAAAGACAGGAATGATGAAAATYCATTTACAACCACCATTGTTGCAARTTGGTATTTTTTTCTTCCAATATGCATCTCAGAAACAAAAGCCACATTCACTGATAAAGCCATGAATTGTTTATTATGTATACATCAACAAAGTTAGTCGTGCTTCATATGCATAACTGAGAAACAAACGACACTGACATTCTCACCTGTTATTGCTTAAAATGATGTTAGTGATGTTCTCAGGCTCTGCAAACGAATCGGCTCCGATCTGGTGAATATTATTCCCGGTGACGACGACGGTCCTGGCGTGTCCCGGGATGTTTTGTGGCACCCTGAGCAGAGACCTGGAGACGCATTTTACTGTGTGGGTGACCGCGAAACACTCACAGCCAGGAGGACAGCCCGAACACCGGCAGGGCACGAAAACTAGGAGAACTCCCAAAAACACACCCAATGCAAAAATGCACATCCTTAACCCGAACAAACCAACTGGAAAATAATGAGCAGAGAAAATGTTTTTTTTTTTTTTGCTATCAGACAAATTTAATACAGAGAAAGTGTGAAATACTGAGAGAGCTTTCTCATCTGCTCCACTGTGGGGAATAAGGGTTCCCATAAATCGATGGTTGTTCATWTCACACAGTAACTGCTGGATTAAAAAAAAGATTCCCTTAAAGGTACAGAGGACAGGAAAGGGTTCCCACAGCGTACACCACAGACAAATAATCCTTTTTACCTATAAAACCATAGATTTAAACAAACGCACAACTATAAATAATGATCATCTCACTACATAGTTTTAAAAACAAAATGCAGTCCAGTAGTGTTGAAGTCCAGTAACGTTTCAGTTTGAGGCTGAAACAATTGGAAAGCATTCAGTTTCTGCCCAGCCATACATAATAATAATGATAATAATAAAAATGCATTTAGCTCGTTTTATTATTTTTTTTACACTGCAGAGGAAAATGGACTCACAATTTCTCACACAAAGGTATTCCCTCATTTTTTATTTGGTAGCGGCTCATCTCTAATAATTGATGAGGGCTCACCAGCATTGAGATTTTTTGCGAACCGTTTTGTGGCGATTCATCACTGAGAAAAACAGAAAAGCGTCTGGAAATACATTCATCACTGCCGTTCTGGACAAATACAGCTAATAAGCGTCACTGTGGCGGTATATCATATGGAGAGGTTTGTTATATTTAATGATAGAGCCCATCAAGTGCAGATGGATATATTGCAAACGAAGGATGTGTTGAGCTTGTGGTGTGTCTCACTGAAATAATACAACATAAATAAACGATAAAAGGAAAAAAAATGGGATGTTCCTCCTGACGTTTTTCCGTTAGATTACAAAACACACCGGACTCCTTCGTCTGGCATTTGTTGTTCTAACAAAAGTCCCGTCAAAACGCACACCATTCACGTCAGTGGTTGTGTATAAAGTGTAACCAGAAGCGGTCTCCTCGTGCCGCTCGCCGTCCTAATGAAGGTTGAGTGTCAGGATGAAGGTGGTGAGGACTCCGCAGAGCATGACGAAGGGCAGCCAGGTCTTGAGGACAGCAGCCCAGCTGCAGGGACAGAGAGAGCGGGGGTCAGAGGAAACGGCACGTACAGTACGTTCTGGGAAACCAAACACACAGAAACTGACACACACACACACACACCACGCTGTCCTCTCCGCACAGCTGGAGCAGGGAGCCCCAACGGAGAAGTGACCTCCAGCTGAGGCGGGGGCGCCGCTGTCAGTGATGAATTGCACGACGCCCCTCCTGTTTGAACGCCTCCTGTGCAGTTGGAGCGTGTGCACCAACCGTGGCAGCATTGTTCTCTATGTGGGTCAGCGGAGAATAATGGC